TTTTTTCTTTTTTTTTTAAACTTGTGATCTGAAAGGTTCTCTTTGCAGCATCAACTGGCTTTGTTTTCATTTTCATTATTTTCCATGAATTTTTTTTAACTCTTCTTTATTTTCCGAGGAGACCCATTCATTCTTTGGTAGGATGCTCTTTAGTCTTCATGTATTTGACTTCTTTCCAACTTTCCTCTTGTGATTGAGTTCTAGTTTCAAAGCATTGTGGTCTGAAAATATGCAGGGAATGATCCTAAACTTTTGGTACTGGTTGAGACTGGATTTGTGACTTGGATGTGATCTATTCTGGAGAATGTTCCATGGGCAGTAGAGAAGAATGTGTATTCCGTTGCTTTGGGATGGAATGTTCTGAATATATCTGTGAAGTCCATTTGGTCCAGTGTGTCACTTAAAGTATTTCCTTGTTGATCTTTTGCTTAGATGATCCATCCATTTCAGTGAAGGGGGCGTTAAAGTCTCCCACTATTATTGTATTGTTGTCAACGTGTTTCTTTGCTTTTGTTATTAATTGGATTATATAATTGGCTGCTCCCATTTCAGGGGCATAGATATTTACGGTTGTTAGATCTTGTTGGATAAACCCTTTAAGAAAGATATAGTGTCCTTCCTCATCTCTTATTATAGTTTTTGGTTTAAAATCTAATTTGTCTGATATAAGGATTGCCACTCCAGCTTTCTTTTGTTGTCCATTAACATGGTAAATATTTTCCACCCCCTCACTTCCAATCTGGAGGTGTCTTTGGGTCTAAAATGAATCTGTTGCAGACAGCTTATCAATGGGTCTTGTTTTTGTAACCAATCTGATAGCCTACGTCTTTTGATTGGGGCTTTTAGCCCATTTACATTCCAGGTAACTATTGAGAGATATGTATTTAGTGCCATTGTATTGCCTATAAGGTGACTGTTACTGTATATTGTCTGTGTTCCTTTCTGGTCTAGGTTACTTTTAGGCTCTCTCTTTGCTTAGAGGACCCCTTTCAATATTTCGTGTAAGTCTGGTTTTCTGTTTGCAAATTCCTTTAGTTTTTTTTTTTTTTTTGTCCTGAAAGCCTTTTATCTCTCCTATTTTCAATGACAGCCTAGCTGGATAGAGTATTCTTGCTGCATAGTTTTCTCATTAGGGCTCTGAATATATCATGCCAGTCCTTCCTGCCATGCCAGGTCTCTGGATAGGTCTGTTTCCAGTCTATTGTTTCTACCCTTGTTGATTACTGACAAGTCAGTTTTACTTTTTCTTTGAACACTGTTTTACTTTTTAAATATTACTTTGGCTATTTTTTCAGCAAATATTTATTAAGCATGTAAAAGAAACTGGGGATGCATGTTGGTTTTCACTTTATCAATTCCATAACAAATCCTGTTGAGCATCATTTCAACATTGTATTTATGTATTTATTTAGACCATGAAGGTGTCTCACAGAATACAATTCAAGAAGCACAAAGTGTATACCATAAAGACTCTTTCTACTCTAGATGTTTTCAATCTGATTTTTGATTCTTTCCACTGAGGCTAATAATGTTACTATTTTTTTGTTTCATTCCAGAGATTTTATCTATAGATATAAATTTACACACACATTTCTTTTTTACACACACAAATATAAAATTTAGTATTAAGTAATATTACATAACATACTTTTTCTTTTTGTAAAAAATTATTTTCAGTTTGCCAACATATAGTACACCATTAGTTTTTGATGTAGTATTCAAAAATTCATTAGTTGTGTATAACATCCAATATTCATCACATGTGCCCTCCTTGATACCCATCAACCAGCTACCTCATCCTCCGACTTCCCTCCCTTCTGAAACCCTCAGTTTGTTCCCCAGAGTCCATAGTCTCTCATGGTTTTTCTCCCTCTCTGATTTTTCCCCCTTTGGATTTCCCTCCCTTCCCTTATGTACTTTCATGCTTTTCCTTATGTTCCACATATGAATGAAACTACATGATAACTGTTTTTCTCTGCTTGACTTATTTCAGTTAGCATAATCTCCTCCAGTTCCATCCATGTCAATGGAAATGGTGGGTATTCATCCTTTCTGATGGCTGAGTAATAGTCCATTGTATATATGGACCACATCTTTATCCTTTCATCTTTTGAAGGACATCTCGGTTCCTTCCATAGTTTGACTATTGTGGACATTGTTGCTATGAACATTGGGGTGCATGTGCCCCTTCTGATCATTACCTTTGTATCTTTGGGGTAAATACCTAGTAGTGCAAAGGCTGGGTCCTAGGGTAGCTATTTTTTTAACTTTTGGAGGAACCTCCATACTGTTTTCCAAAGTAGCTATTCCAGCTTACATTCTCATCAATAGTGGAATAGGGTTCCCCTTTCTCCACAACCTTTCCAACATTTGCTTTTTCTTGCCTTGTCAATTTTTGCCATTCTAACTGGTGTGAGATGGTATCTCAATGTGGTTTTGATTCGAATTTCCCTGATGGCTAATGATTTGAACATTTTTTCATGTATCTGTTAGCTATTTTTCTGTCTTCTTTGGAGAAGTGTCTCTTCATATCTTCTGCCCATTTCTTCATTTGATTATTTGTATTTTCAGTGTTGAGTTTGAGAAGCTCTTTATAGATCTCAGATCTCAGCCTTTTATCTGTAGTGTCATTTGCAAATATCTTCTCCCATTCTGTGGGTTGCCTCTTTGTTTTGTTCACTGTTTCCTTTGCTGTGCACAAGCTTTTTATCTTGATGAAGTTCCAACCCAATAGTTCATTTTCACTTTTGTTCCCCTTACCTTTGGAAACATGTCTTGAAAGAAGTTGCTGTGACTGATATCAAAGAGGTTACTGCCTATGTTCTCGTCTAGGATTTTGATAGATTCCTGTCTCAAATTGAGGTCTTTCACCCATTTTGAGTTTATCTTTGTGTATGTTATAAGATTGGTCCAGTTTCATTTTTCTGCATGTTGTTGTAGAATTTTCCCAGCACCATTTATTGAAGAGACTTTCTTTTTTCCATTGGATGTTCTTTCCTGCTTTTTTGAAGATTAGTTGACCATAGAGTTGAGGATCTCATTTCTGGATTTTCTATTCTATTCCATTGATTTATGTGTCAGTTTTCTGCCAAAAACATACTCTTTTGATGACTACACCTTTGTAATATTACTTCATTTTAAAAAATAAGATAACTTTCCCCCATTACTTATAGAAAATATGTATAATACAAAGAAATTGGGGGGCGCCTGGGTGGCTCAGTCATTAAGCGTCTGCCTTCAGCTCAGGTCATGGTCCCAGGGTCCTGGGATCGAGCCCAGCATTGGGCTCCCTATTCAGTGGGAAGCCTGCTTCTCCCTCTAACACTCCCCCTGCTTGTGTTCCCTCCCTTGCTGTGTCACTCTCTGTCAAATAAATAAATAAAATCTTTAAAAAAATACAAAGAAATTGGGGGAGATAACCCTTAATTCCACCCAGAAGGAACCACATTGATAATATTTTGGCAAAATTTTCTCTGAGTCTTTACAAGTATTTTAAAATACCGAGCAGATACATTTTTCTTTGGTATCTATTAAAAATGTCATGTGCTTGCCACAGTATTTGCTTATATTTTTCATTGTTTTGGGCATTTGGGTTGCCCTCAGTATCTCATTTACACAGCTTTTTAGGAAATACTTTTAGCTTTTATGTGAAAAAAATAAACCTCTCTGTGTCATTTTCCCCACTTGTGAGAAGAGAATAATGAATCTTTCAGGGCAGTTATGACGATTAAATGTGAGGACGTGGAGCGTTCATTGTAATGCGTGGCACATAAGAAATGCTCAATTACTGTCAGCTTTTTCACTTCTAAGCTACTAGACATTACTTATGTTGTCACCTGCAATTTTTACTATCCCCTTATATGATGAGATTGTTATTCTTATACAGGATAAGAAAACTGAGGTTCAAATTTTTTGCATAAATGAGCAGTGCTCAAAGTTGGCACATGTCTGTTGCTTTTGTACTTTTTCCTGAAAAGACAAATCCTTAAGTGATGTTTGCCTTTACAGGAGAAGCAGCTATGAGGGCTGGAGAACAGCCCAATTCCTAGCAGAGGCAGAAGCAATGCCCAATTCAGCAATAAATAGCTTAAAATTTGCTTTTCAGCTATGTGAAGAAAGTCCTAGGAATTAAAACACCTGCACCCCATGGTTATAGCAGCAATTTTGGACAGTAGTCAAACTATGGAAAGAGCCCAGATGAACAGATGAATGGATAAAGAATTGGTGGTGTGTGTTTATATATACATATATATATATATATATATATATATATAGGAATATTAGCTATCAAAAAGAATGAAATCTTACCAGTTGCAATGATGTGGATGGAACTAAAAGATATTATCTTAAGTGAAGTAGTCAGAGGAAAGCAAGTGTCATAAGATTTCACTCATTTGTGGAATTTAAGAAACAAAACAGATGAACATGGGGAAAGGAAGGAAAATAAAATAAGATTAAATAAGAGAGGGCAAAAAACCATGAGACTCCTTTTTTTTTAAAGATTATATTTATTTATTTGACACAGAGAGACAACAGCAAGAGAGGGACACAAGTAGAGGGAGTGGGACACAAGTAGAGGGAGCAGGGAGCCTGATGTGGGGCCCGATCCCAGGACCCTCTGATCATGACCTAAGCTGAAGGCAGATGATTAATGACTGAGCCACCCAGGCCCCCCAACAGTAAGAGACTCTTAACTACAGGAAACAAACTGAAGGTTGCTGGAAAGGAAGTGGGTGACCAGATGGGGTAACTGGGTGATGGGCATTACAGAGGGCACTTGACGTAATGAGCACTGTGTGTTATATGTGACTGATGACTCACTATACTCTACTTCTGAAACTTTTAAAAAAAGAGAAATTTAAAGAGTTTATTCTAAACAAAGTAACAAAGAGGACAACACATAGGGCAAATTTTTAATGTCCTCAGTATTGTGGCACTAAGCATACATCTCCTGCTTCCAGATCCCAACCCTTTTCCTGGCACATCCCTCTGTAGGAGCAATGGTTTCGGTGGGAAACCAGACTCCCATCTCCCACTTCATCTTCCTGGGCTTTTTCACCCACTTGCCACTGCATCTCTTCTTCTTTTCCATCATCTTGGTCACGTTTCTGGTGGCCATCTCTGGCAACGGGCTCATGATCTTCCTCATCAATATCAACTCCCGCCTACAGAGCCCCATGTACTTCCTCAGCTGGCTGTCACTCATGGACCTCATGCTCATCTCCACCATTGTGCCATGAATGGCCACTGACTTCCTCCTAGGCCGTGGCTCCATCTCCTTCACAGGCTGTGGGCTCCAGGTCCTTTTCATCCTCACCCTCCTGGGGGATGATTGCTTCCTGCTGGCCTTTATAGCCTATGACCGCTATGTGGCCATCAGCAACCCATTGAGGTCCTCAGTGGTCATGAGCCTCCATGTCTGCTGGCTCATGGTGGCAGGGTCCTGGTTCTTTGGCTTGGTGGATGGACTGATCCAGGCCATCTTCACTCTGAACTTCCCCTATTGTGGCTCTCAGGAGATCAACCACTTCTTCTGTGAAATCCCTGCCATACTGAAGTTGGCCTGTGCTGACACCTCCCTCTATGAGACCATGATCTATGTCTGTTGCATCTTAATGCTGCTCCTGCCCTTCCCTGTCATCTCTGCTTCCCACCTGTGGATGCTGGTAGCTGTGCTCCACATGGCATTTGGCTAAAGGTCGTCAGGAAGCCTTTGCTACCTGCTCCTCTCCAATGGCAGTGGTTTCTCTCTTTTATGGGGCTGCAATGATCACCTATATGTGGCCTCAGGCCTACCACTCCTCCAAGCAGGACAAGGTGGTCTCAGCCTTCTATACGATGATCACCCTTATGCTCAACCTACTCATCTACAGCCTGAGGAACAAGGAAGTGGCTGGGGCTCCCAGAAAACTCCTGGGGAGGTGTCCTTGTGGTGGGGGGGCAGGTCTAGGTTGACATTGGCACCTGTGGATGTGGGTTCTGTGGTCTGGGAACTTGAATTAGCTTCTGTAGTTTGGAAGAGAAACAGATGTGCCATACTGAAAATAAGTCCCTCTTGACCAGAGTTCATGAGATAAACACATTAATTTAATCAAGAATGTCCATGCTGAGGATGGATAGTGTAGAAGGAAGGCTGCGCCAATGGGGTTAAAAGAATAGGAGACACTTAGCGAATATCCCACAGAGTTAGCAGGTGATAGGTTTCAGCTGTTTACCTCTGCAGGAATTGCCAAGAACTGAGGAAAACACCTTGCTCAAGTTGTGCTTCCCCTATGACTAGTCGATATAGGATATAAAGGCTTGGTTACCTTCCCTCAGTTTGACACTGAAGGTCCATCCCAGCTCCAGGACTCCCTGTAATATCTGAAGCATTACAGACTATGTATCCCTATATCCAATTTTGCTTCCTTGTCTCCTTTCCCTACCATGAGTACAATCCTAACATCACTTTAAAAAACCTTCCACATGAAAACTTGTCTCAGTCTGCTTCCAGGAAACCTAACCTGTGACACACAAAAATGAAAAAATGATGGTAAGTTAAAGTCAAGTTTGCTAGATATGTTCATGTACATGTGGTCAAAATAAAATATAGACACAGAAACTTTGTTGCTTGGTGGTATCAGAGGAAAGTCAGAAAGTTTCCTGAAGACACTTAAGACAAGTTTCAAGTATAAAATATAATGCCTCAACACTTCCATACATCATTCTGTGTTCATCATAAGTGCACTTCTTAATCCTTCTCACTTATGTAACCTATCCACTCCACCTCTTTTCTGGTACCCATCATTTGTTCTCTACAATTAAGAGTGTGTTTTTTTATTTCTCTCTTATTTTTTCCCTTTGCTCATTTGTTTTGTTTCTTAAATTCCACATATGAGTGAAACATATGGTATTTGTCTTTTTCTGACTGACTTATTTCGCTTAGCGTTTTACTCTCTAGCTCCATCCATGTTATTGCAATTGGCAAGATTTCACTCTTTTTTATGGATGAATAATATTTCATTACATATGTATGCCATATCTTCTGCATCAATTGATGCATTCATCAATGGATGGACACGGGCTGCCTCCATATCTTGGCTATTGTAAATAATGTTGCTAAAAACACAAACATACATGTATCTCTTTGAATTAGTGTCTTGTATTCTTTTGAAATAACCAGTAATGCAGTTGCTGCTTTCTACCTTATGGCAGTTCTATTTTTAACTTTTTGAGGAACGTCCATACTGTTTTCCACAAAGGCTGCCCGAGTTTGCATTCCCACCAACAGTGCAATAACGATACCCTTTCTCCTCATCCTTGCCAATACCTGTTTCTTGTTATGCTGACTAGCCATTCTGACAGTTTTGAGATGATATCTCACTGTAGTTATGATTTGCATTTACCTGATGATGTGATGTTAAGCATCTTTTCATGGGTCAGTTTGCCATCTGTACGTCTTCTTTGAAGAAATGTCTATTTATGTCTTCTGCCCATTTTTTAAATTGAATTATTTGCTTTTTCGGTGTTGAGTTTTATATATTTTGGATACTAAACCTTTATTGCATATATCATTGCAAATATCTTTTCCCATTCCATATGTTGCCTTTTTGTTTTCGTTGATTATTTTCTTTGTTGTGCAGAAGCTTCTTATCAGGATGAAGTTCCGATAGCTTATTTTTGTTTTTGTTTCCCTTGCTTCAGGAGACATACCTAGAAAGAATTTGATATGGTCAGTGTCAAAGAGGTTACTGCCTGTGTTTTCCTCTAGGATTTTGATGGATTTCTCTCTCACATTTAGGTCTTTAAACCATTTTAGATTTATTTTTGTGTATGGTATAAGAAAGTGGTCCAGTTTTATTCTTTTCATGTTGCTGTCCAGTTTTCCCAAAACCATTCATTGAAAAGATTATCTTTTTCCCATTGGATATTCTTTCTTGTTTTGTCAAAAATTAATTGACGATGAAATATGGTGCTCATTTCTAGGTTTTCTTTTTTGTTTTATTGACCTACATGTCTGTTTTTGTGCCAATACTATACAGTTTTGATCACTACAGCTTTGTAATATAACTTGAGGTCCAGAATTGTGTTGCCTCCAGCTTTGCTTTTCTTTTTCAGGATTACATGGTCTATTCAGGGTCTTTTGTGGTTCCATACAAATTTTAGGATTGTTTATTCTAGCTCTGTGAAAAATGCTATTGGCATTTTGATAAGGATTGTGTTAAATGTGTAGATGTGAGGATGGCTTTGGAAAGTATAGAAAGAAGAAACTTTAACAATATTTGTTCTTCCAATCCATGAGTATGGAATATCTTTCCTTTTCCTTGTGTCATCTTCAAATTTTTGACCACTGTTTTATAGATTTCAGAGTACAGGTCTTTCTTTGGTTAGGTGTATTCCCAGGTATCAAAATTTGTGCTGGGCCACTAGTCTTATGCCAGATCCCCTGAGGTGCTGTGGTGGCTGGGCATTGTGTGCTGGGGCTGCTGGGGCTGCAAAACTGGGCACAAATTGGGACACACAAGAAGATGGCTGGGCAAACTGGGCCTGTAGCATGATGGTGTCTGGGATCATGCACCTGGATGAGGTGTAGTGACTGGGCACTGTGTGCAGTGGCAGCTATGTACCTGGTGGCTGCACTGTGTGCAGGGGCAGCTATGTACCTGGTGGCTGTATTATCTGCACAAGGGTGCCTCAGGGCACATGGCAGGGTGCAGTGTTGCAAAAGTTCATGGGGCAGCAGTTCAGGGTGCTCATATGGCTTTAACAAAATATGGCCTGACCGCAAGGCTGAGACCAGCAAGCTTGGAATGGGACAGTCCTCAGAAGAACACACTGTGAACAAGTCAGGCAGCCCCATTTTCTGCTGGTAAATTATGGGGAACAGGGGAGGAAAATGGTGTATGCCAGCTCCCTCATTCTCAGTGAAGTCCCTCAACATGCTCCAAAATCAGTATGAACAGATCTCTCCCATTTTTCCCCCAGAATTTTTAAAAGGCTGTTTTTATGTTGTCTCTCAGGGCAGGCTGCTGTCTCCTTAAGGGTGATGACCCAGGTATAGGCACACAAGGATGCCCAGTGCCAAGACCTCCAAAGCTCCAGGTTCCCAAAGCCACTGGCTTTATAAACTCATGGAATTCAGCCCCTTTGGTTTCTAAAGCCAGACACCATGGGAGTTAGTCCTCCCTGGGTGAGTTCCCTGGTGTGAGGGGCAATTTCTCTGTCCTCTCCATGTGAGCAGACTCCCTGCACCTTTCTAAGTTTTCAGTTGCAGCTTCTTCTCTATATTTTGTTGTGGAGTTTCTTCTACCACTCTCAAGATTGTTCTCTAGTTTACTGATTTGGATGTGGATGATAGCTAGTTGAAAACATGGGACAGTGTGAGCTTAGGGTCTTCCTACTCTGCCATCTTCGCAAGCTCCTCCCTTCTCTTTCAGAGATGAACTTCAGAAATTACTTACAACTTCCTATTTGCCTTTTATAGTGCTTAGTGGTGCTTCTATTGCCAGGAATATGAGATAGAGGACGACATGACAGGGAGGTGGGTATGTGCCACAAGACCTCTAAGTATGCCTGGAGTCTATTTCTATGGGCTTCGAGAAGACCGTGATTCAGGCCAGTCAAGGATATATGGAGCATAATTTCAGGCTCAGCCTGCACTTGAAAAATCAAGATTTTAACTTGAGCAACTGTCAAATGGGCTAGACTATGTTTGTACGTAACCCATTTCCCTTTATTCACCAAGTGTTGAATTTGAGATGATAATATCCTAGTTAGTCAGAAAACATCTTAAGCAGGAAAGTTTTCACTCTTGATGAATCTTGAGCGATGCCTTTGCAAGCCTGTGAAAATTAAGGTTTGTTTTTCTCATGGAAAATTATTTTTAATTGTGATTTTTTTAGGTGTTCAGCAACATTTACAGCAAAAGGCTTCCTCATGTTATGGTTTCTGTGCCATGCAGTGAGAGTTGTGCAAAGCCTGGCCTCTCCCCTTTGCCTCTCTCACTGTCTTGAATCTCTCTGGGCCACAGCCAATTTCTAGCTTGGACTAAGGCTTGGCAGCATGGGCTGGGCAGAAAGGAATGACATTCAGAGAGTAGAGGCACTTTTTATCAGTGTTTGAACCTGGTAGAAGGAGAAGCATAGAAATCCTCATGGAAGTGGGTTGGGGTGGAATGGAGTAGTGATGGTTTTTGTTAAGAGGAAGACATCTGACTTCTAAAAGATGGTGCAGTATGTTCATTTACCGTAAATCTTTTCTCCACAAAACATGTAGCAATAGTAGATAAAATATAAAAATAGAAAACAATGAAGATAAAACTGGCTTCCACTACGAGGTTTTAAAAATAGTGAAATAGGAACAATAGAGAAGTGCCCAATAGTGAGCAAGACTGAAAGCCTGGGCTTGCTGAGACAAACTTGTCTTGGACAAACTCAGGGTGGGCAAAATTTCAGTCTGGCAGGGTGAAGTTCTGCAAATTCCATGAAAGACAAAAAACGTGAGCCAGCCTTTTGGGATGGGTCCAAGGGTTGGAGTAGAACTCCACACTAAAACCCCAAAAGAAACTGAAAAACTGACTGTCAAGTGCCTTCTGAGGCCTTAGTTCTGGTGTGTCACAGGCCTGGGGAGATGCAGATGGAACTGGTGACCGGTCACTTAGCCCTTCCATAGTGCTGACTTCATGTAGGCAGCAATAACAAATCCACACTTTAAAACTTTCTTCAAAATGTTTTGCCCAGAATCCTGGAAGCTAGCAATAACCAACCACTTAGCAGACTGGGTTTGTAAGCACAAGTTTTTAGTGAAGGATATGTGTGGGAGAGACAAAAATGATGATAATAAAATAAAAAATTAAATCTCCTCTACAAAAGGAGTTTAAGCAAATAAAAACCTAAAACATCAGCCAAATCAACAGTATAATTTACTCAAGATGAAATTCACAATGAAAGAACAGACAAAAAATTTAAAATACTATC